TTCTTTCTATTCTACCTCTTTAGTTAGATTTGAAAGGATATTATTAATGGTAGCAACTTTTGTCTTTTCTTTTGATTTGTCTTTGAAGTCTGGTCTCCATAATAAATTCTCTAGTACAATATGTTGTTGCCCTTACTTATACTCAAGCTGGATATCAAAAAACAACAATTATTCTTTTTAATGATGATGCTACATCTTCATATTTTCTAGATGCAAATCATGTAGCAAGGATCGATGGTCAGTTCGAATAACCACTGATTTTTTCAATAGATAATGTCACCACATCTTTTTGGCATGTATAATTGTCAATTGCTCTCGATCACATGCAGAGTCATTACGCTCTGCTCTTTTGAGCTTGTGTAATTCATATGCCACAAATTGAAGGCCCCTACCAAAGTCTTGTTGAAGGACCACTCCAATAGCAAAGTCATAAGTATCAATGTCAAGCATATAAGGAAGGTTGGATTCATAGGATTGCGATATTGGAGCATTAATGTGTGCCTCTTTCAACTTATCAAAGGTATTTTGGTGCTCCAATTTCCATTCAAATAGGGCACTCTCTTCCAATAAGTTTATCAATGATCCAACAATGAGGGCAAATCGTTGAACAAAATGACAATAATATTTAGTAAGGCCTTAAAATGAGTAAATTTCGTAAGCATCATTGATTGTTGGCCAATCTTCCACTGCTTTTATCTTATCTTATTCTATATGCATGCCTTCAAAAGACACCACATGCCCCAAAAAGGTGACTTTTGATTTTTAAAGTTTACATTTTAATTGCTTGCAATAGAAGCGATTATCTTATAGCCAACACAATACTTCTCATAGGTGTTGCTTATGCTCTTCAGGGGTTTTACTATATACAAAGATATCATCAATAAAGATGACTATGTACTTATTTGAAAGGTCTTAAAAAAATCTATTTATTTAATCTATAAAAGAGGTTGGAGCATTAATAAGGCCAAAGGATAAAATCAGCCATTCAAAACATCCATAGCATATACAAAATGCCATGTTTTCTACATCTTTTTTTGCAATAGGTGCTTATCAATAGATATTCCAAAGATCCAATTTACTAAAGAAGGTCACATCTCAAAGTTGGTCAAAAAGATCATCCATGCATGGAAGTGGATATGCATTTTTAACAGTTTATTTATTGAGGCCTTAATAGTTGATGCAAATGCAAAGTCTACCATCTTTTTTGTGTGCAAAGAGTACAGGTGCTTCCCATGGTGATGTACTTTCTTGAATGATGATTTTATCTAATGTCTTTCATAGCTCTTCAAGTTCTTTTGGTGATAGGAGATAAATCGGTCGACTTATTACTTTGGCTCCAAGCAATAGTTCTATTTGAAAAGAGGCACCTCGATCAAGAGATATGCCACTAGATAGATTGATTGAAAAGACATCCTGATATTCTTGTATGAATTGTCCTACCTATTTTACTCCTTTGGCTATCTTTCCTACCACTGACGTAAGGTTTGGAACCACCAAATATATTGGTTGCTCATACTACAATTGCTTCTTCATGAGGGTTGTCTCTGTAAGTAAATCTTTGGTTGTAAATTTTCTTTCTTTTTCACTTAATGTGGAGGTACAAAGAGTCACTTTGAATCCTCTATTTTTAAAAGAAATTGACTTTATTATCCAATCAACTTGCTTATTTCTCATCTCTAGCCATAACAAATCAAAGATAACATCATACCTTAGCTTTATCACCTTGAATCTCTTTCTTAAGATGTAGGTGTTTGGCAATCTCAATGTTTCTTCTTCACGCATTTCATTCAATATGTTTTATTAGTCATTTGCAAGATATATATACTTCTTTCCTTGATTTTAATTTGAAATCGGCCGACAATTTCAATTGAGATGTAATTTTTTTGTAGAGCCATAATCTACAAGCACTCACTATGATTGCCCTCTTAATATCCCATTAAATGCTCCAGTCGACTCTTTTTATAGTTTTTTGAGGCTATGCCATTTGCCTCTGAAAGATAGTAATTATTCCGTATTACTTGGTAGTAGTCTTTGGTGCCTTTATTGGGGAGCTTTATTTTTCTTCTCTGACTCATTATTGGCTTGGTGAATTTTGAGACTATGAACTTGTTTTGTCTTACCAATATTTACAGTTTGATATTTTGAATAACTTCCAATTTTATAGCCTAGCTCCTAATAATAGAAATATAATCCTTTTTATACTAATATTTATCATCTTTGTAGTATCAATGATCCTTGTAAGGCATCAATCTCTATTTGTGTTGATTATTGTGTTGTAATATTAGATAGTGGCATAGGACTTCGTGATATAGGTCGTGCTCCTTGTTTTTTGAAGTCTGTAGTATTGACCCTCTCTACAATCCAAATTGCCTCTTCAAATATTTGTGGATTCTTTAGTTCTACTTCTCGTTGGATTCGAGGTTTCAAACCTCATAGAAATCAATCCATCATCTCTGCCTTTGAAACATTGCTAATTTGAAAATATAAGAACTTGAATCGGGAGATATAGTCTTGTATTGACCTAGCTTGTGTAAGATTTGCTAATTGATTGTATGTTATCTTTTCCATATTGATAGGCCAAAATTGATTCCTAAACTCACTCTTAAATTCCTTTCAGTCACAAAATCCACCTTGAGCTCCATAACTTTGAACTTGATGTCACTAGTAAATAGCTGTTGCATCTCTCAAATAGTTAGCTTTATATAATTCCTTCAATAATATTTGCCCCAGATAGTTGGAGGTATTGTCATATATTAAAGAGCCACTAATATACATCTTCTTGTCTTGAATTTCAAGAGTCTGTACTAGGCTTATTCAATTTCAACATAGTAGATATCAACTCTCTTATCCTCGAGGCTTCTATTTGCCATTGCAAAGTAGCTATCTGGCCTAAGAGGTATTGTATTTGAGCCTCGATATGAGATTGCTTTGCCATATCTCCCATACTATAATTTCTCCAATAGATCCCACTATAATAATACCCTTTCACCTCCTAATTATAAATATTGTAATATCCTTTCACCTCCTAATTATAAATATTGTAATATCCTTTCACCTCCTAATTATGAGAGAAGATTAGAGCCTAAATATAAAAATTTTAACTAGTAGGAGGCTTATTGGAAGAGATGAAAGCAATGCATAATTGGATGAAGGCAAGGAATGGGGATCTTTATTCCTATTGATCGAAAGCCATGCCCAATGGACTTCAAGGAGGTTGCCGGAGGCCTTATTAAAGATTAGGATTTTTCTTCTGAGGTAATTCGAGCTTTGGAGACTAAGGTCAGCAAGTTTAGGATTTTGGATATAATTTGGATGAAGATTTTAAGTGATTTTGAGTTTTTATGAAGAAGATATAGGTATTCAAAGTTAAGATATGAAAATTGTACCTACTATCATTCTTTGAAGCATAACATATGCGTATGGAAAGAAATGAAAGATCGACAACTAGAGTTGAAGAGAGAACTTTTTCAACTACACTTTTCATATACTATTTGATAACTTTGGAGTTTGGATGAAGAAGTTATAGAGGGTTGAAGTCAGTGCATCCAAATCAAAGGCAATAAGTAAGTGATTTTGTTCATAGTAATGGTTGGAGCCATATCTTGACTTTTTGAATGAATTTTGGGCTCAAATCCTTTAAAGAACGTAGATTATTGTATCAAGAAGCTATACATATAAATTTTGTGGTATTTTAGTTTTTAATTTGTGTAATATGAAGAAAATAGCATGCGAGAGTAAAAACTAGGATTTAAAGCTACTGTTAGGATTTTGGTGATATCTCAAGATCCGTAATGAATTTGTAGTTGAATTTTTTTATGGTAGTCTTTGAAAGTATATGAGTACTTCATGTAAAATTTTAGATTGTTTGGACTATCCGATCGTGAGATATAAGGTGTTGAAGCTCAAGAAATATTTTTGACAAGTATATATAAGGTTTTAAGATACTTTATCTTACATTTGGGTGTTTTTTTTTATACTTGGGCATATGTATTGATATAATTTTCCTAAAAGGGAAAATATTATATATATAAACTTGGTGCTTTTATATCTTAGATTTGATTGAACATTTAGTGGCAGCCAGAAGCTCAGCGCTTTCTTGAGGCAAATTCGGTCTACCTCAACAATGGTAATTGTTGCTCTAATAGATAACTTCTACACTTTGATGAATACATCCATTTAAGATTCTATTGAGACTATCCATAAATATCTTATCTACTATGACAATATACCTTGAGCATATCTTGTATATTCCTAAAATCTTTTATCCATTCATCTATCTTGTCTTTTGGTTGTATCACATACTAAAAACCAACTCTTTGGTTATTAACAATATATCTAAAATAATATCTTCCACAAAGTAATTTATTCTATTATTATTTCTATTTTCTTACTTTAATATTGTTGATATTATACATCTTCACAAACAATGTCTTCACACAATATTACCAATATACTAAAACATAATACATGATACAAAATATCTCATCAATCAAGCAAAAAACTTTGTACATATAACTTATTGTCCAAATGTGAAAAGGTGTAAAAAGAAACCAACAATGATGAATGAATTCTGATTTTTCTCAAATATTGAAAAGATAAGTGGAATTGCTATTTAAATAAGTGGGAGAAACAAGAAGCATGGACAACTAACAATTGATTACTTAGCAAGTGTCAAATAATAAATTATATACAAGCCAACTTTTTTGGAGTGAAGTTGCAATGTATACTTGGACCTTATGTTAATTTCTGGATTCTCCCTTAGGATTTCGATCACGTTGTTGCCTTAAGGCTCACCTAACCAAGATATTAATTTGATTAATAATCGAATGGTTTTGAAGTTGCCTCTGAAGGAAGAGCGAGCGCCACTGACGATTAAGATTACATGTCCTCTGCCCGAATCATCAGAGAGATGCTTAAGTCAACTGGCCTTCAAACACCAGAGGGCATGACTGTAAGATACCCACAATTCGAAATCAAGTTGCAAATCTAAGTCACAGGACTGTAAGTACCCTCAGCGATGCATTAAGTTGGTTACAATTTCTTTCGAAGTTGTAAGCCAAGTTAGATTCCAGTTTGGCTCAAGTTCCGCCTGCAGTGAAAGCATGCATTGCTGGGCAAGAATTTGCACACCACATGTACCTTGCCCAGCTCGTGAAAATATTCTGCTAGATTAATGGTTGAATACCACTCGAGTCTAGGTGCACAACTACAACTAGAAACGTACCTTGCAGAACCCAGCTGTGAACAAGTAGTGAGCACATTCAATCTCGTCTTCGGAAGCACTCTAATTTACCAGGTGCAGTGATTTGAGATTTTCTATCGAGGAACTTCACATCGTAGAAGTAGATTGTGAATCAATGCTGACAATGCAGGTCTGCTCGTACTGCTTGTTATCAACATTGGACCTCTGGGAGCTCTGTGCAGGCCTTGACGATGCTTCGGTAATTCTATTGCCGAGTAGATTGTAGATTCCGCTTGCATCCAAGGCTACAGTGTCCTCAGCCAAGGCTGCTTTTATTGCAGGATGCAAATATGCTCTTTCAAGAAAGCTTCTCACATCCAGGTTAGGTTCTAAAGTCCTTTCTAAATTATCCTTGGCTCGTGCTTCCTGACCAATATCAAATGGCAGAGTTTTAGAACCTTCGCATCGTGAGCAGAAAATGGCTTAAGTCATCACATAAGTACCTAAATTAAGTGTAACAGGACAAACTTTGAGCAGACACATATCAGAATACTGTAATGCCTTGAAAGTAAACCTATCAAGAAGAATTTAAAATGTAACTGTAGAATGCACCTGAAGTGGGTATTGGTCGAATGCAGGTCCATATCTATCCGTGCAGTACCAATGAAAGAATAAAGTCAGTACAGGCAAGGGTAGCAAGAGAGGTGTAGACGCTGCAGATCTTTTGATTGAGAAAAGACCTATCAGAGTGATATGGGTTATCAGAAGAGCCACGATTATGAATCGGTGTGCGAGCGGCCAAAATGCAGCAGAGCTTTCAAATTTTGGCACGTAAACGTTTATCACCTGCGGCGATAAGGAAGCTGGACTTAGTTGGTTCGAACGCAGAGTAGTAGAGTACAGATTAGTTCCTCAACAGTTGCAAGTAGTGAAAAACACTGGATATTCTATGAAACCTTTGACAGCGAAACATACATAGAACATGTTAAATAGAGTAGAAAATTCAGTGAAGAGAACATCCATTGTTAGAATTCTCCTGTAATGGTCCTCAAACAGAAGGCAAAAGTAATTTTGTCTATTAAATCAGGTTCTGATGAACTTTGTGTAATTTTCAACACCTAATAATGAAAATTTCTCCAAATGAAATGTGCAAATTATTAAAAATAAAATAAATAAAATAAAAAACATTCGAAGTCTAGTACATGTGACAGCTTCAGCATCAATGCAACATCCTAAAAATAGTAAAAACAGATCTTGAAGAAGGCAAGAACTCAGCATTCGCGTTCAATTTGCACCCTAGAAAATACGAGGTACCTGGTTCCGATATATGATGTATCCGAAGGCATAGAACACAATAATAAACGGCAGGATGAGAGGTGAAATGACCGAATATACGAGGCCAAGGAGAAAGTAAAGTCCCAATTTCGGAAGGACTGCATTGTATTGAAGTGTTGAAAATGCCATAGCATTATTTCTGTCCCTCTCTGTTTTTACTATCACCATATTCTGCAGATGATACCACATAAATGCCCCAAGTCGCAGTGCTTCAGCTGCAACAGTCGACCAACCGTCCACCATGATGTAAGTAATGAAAAATGTCGACTTCATTGGTATGGAACTTCCAAATGCCTTCGGGACCCTGGAAAAAGAAACTGTAAAATACTCCGATCAGTGTGAGCGTGTTACTCTGCAATCACCATGTGCTATATCTTCACATGAATAGTGAAGGGTAAAGCAAATTGCATAATTTTATCTAGAAGTAGATCTGTTCACTGTACAAAGAACAACTCATCAAGGAGACTGCAAAGATTCTGCACCTTATTGGAGAGTTTATGTACTGCTTCAGCTGCACAAATACAGAACCCACAATAACATTGCCGAAAAAAACGTTGACGACCATGACAATGAAGTACTTTGTAGCAGCACTCCTCATAATCTTAGAATATGAAACGCGGCCTTCAAATTTAGAGAGAAACATCATCAATTGGGGAAGAAAATGAAGCGACAGATTCAGTGAGAGGCCTGGTAAAAAGCCTTGGAGAACAGACCTTATAAAACTCCTGTGAGAATGACAGCATTGAGTTAATACTACGTTCTGAGCATAACCATTTATGACTTGCAGGATGAGGCAGAGAGGCAACTATATGATATTCATAATCTTAATACACGCTTCCGATTTACATTTCTTGTCCAGAAAACATGAAAGAGTGAGTAGATTACTGGTCGATGAGAGGCTTCAGAAAGTGAAAGTTCTTGTCCAAGGCATCCAAATTCGCCAGTGATTGAACGAATGTAATTGGGATCATGAAAAAGAACGCTATGAAGAATATAAGAAATCCAACGAGTAGACGTCGTGAGTTAAGCGCCATGTATGGTATGGATAAATTATCCCAACAGACATCCCGTGCTTCTGGAGCCCAATCCGTCAACCAGCAAGTTGAATCCTTGCTTTGTTGCGTTTGAGCACACACTGCAGCACCCCATCGTGAGTTGAACGACACGAAACCCGCCTTCATGACAAACTTCTCACTTGATAAAATGTGGCATTGCACTGTCTTTATCTGCCAAAGCGTATTGTATAACAAAAAGCACTTTATACCGTCTTGTGCATTGTATACTTATCTTTACTCAAATATTTGGTGCAGTAGTGTAAGATTCGAAAACAGGCACATATATGTTGGAAGCACCTAGAGCCGACACTATGAAATAAATTTCTTGCACAAAAATAGTATGCCACAAGTGATATCAGGGAGCAAGAGTGTGGAACCTCTTCAATAAGCCGATTATATTTAGAAGTGTAGAAGTCAATTGAATTTACTTTCTCTCCAACTATCCGAAGAAATCCTTTCTGGGTCACAGCATTCATAGATTTTTGTCAGAATTATTTTGCTTTGGAGAACATGGGCAATTGTCGTAGAAGCTGTTTATTTTGATAGGCTAATATCACATTATTCATTTAATCACGAGTAAAATACCAAGAAAATCAAAGATTTCGACCGGCAAAATTGTAGAAGATGTTACCCGAGTAGTTGGACACTGGGAACTTTGACTGCCGCCCTGCTGCTTCTGAAGATACTCAATCGTGTCCAAACATTTTTCCTTATCTTCTACTAGTAAAGATAAGTAATTTGCATCGTAAACAACCTGCAAAGGCCTAATATTGACAGACATCATGCTAATAATTTAAGGAGATCACCTTGCATTGGTACTAACGGCAACGAAAAATGTATGCTGCTCTTTAATCAGGAAAGACTTTAATTGTAAAAGACTTCCAACTCCAAGATGTGATGTAAGGAGGACCTGGTGGGTGATATAATGTTCTGAGTGATTTTCCTTGAAGAAGTTCTCGATCTGTTGACTGACTTTGATCTGTCCCACTCTAGGAACTTGCCTCACCAAAATCTGCATAATGTGCGCAGCTCATCAAAACAAGTTCTTCAAAAATCAAGAACACGAAGTCTTGTGCATGTTGCCAACCATTGTCTTACAGAAGATTGGGTTTTGAAGAGCATAACATTTTACGGACTGGCCAAGATCCAGAAACAGTAGAAATTGAACCAACAAAAGTGAATGATGACTAGCGCATTCAGGATATTGACATTACTGAAGAGAGTTTACTGTGAATTGATCAGGACGCCGTTTCTGAGCAGCAAGAAACTTGAATCGTAAACTTTCGACTTGTTCATATTCTTTGAAGAGCATCAAGCACGTCCAAGCAGTGTACATATAGGCTGCTAATAAGTGAGCCCAAAGCCTGCCCTGCGTGGGAACGATTTATCATTTTTCCGATGGCCTTCAATGAATTCTACCACGAGATTGTGAATATGGGCTTTCATCTGAAGCTCGGATGCCACAAATTTCCAAAGTGATGATGAGAACACAACATTCAACCACATTTCAAATACGTACCGTTTTGATTTGTCGTGGACATTTGCGATGGACATCATGTCGACAGTACTGTAGGCGAAGTTGGGATTGGATTTCTGATAGGACATGAGCTCATTATCTGTTTTGTTGATAGGAATCAACACGAAGCAACCCCACACCAACATCGGCGCAAACATCTTCAACCTGCACGAACCCATGGCGAACCTTGGCCAAAAGAGGCAACATTCTGTTCATTTACTTCGAATACAAATTATCCTTCTGTTAAATGTGAAAGCTTATTGTTACGCAATTGAAGCCAGAATCACTACTGTAACTACATCACTTAGGTTCTCATGACTTAAACCTGTCCAAAGTAACAGGCCAATGCTTGCACCTGTGTGTAGGCGTAATGTAGGCATTTGAGGTGACCGCCTTACGGCAAACTCTTTTTTAAAGACGAATTTGGAAAGGAGACAGTAGTTGTACCCTAAAAGAAACACTCGCAGAAGAACGGCAGAATCCAGGCCAGCATGCTCTATTAGTTCCATCTCTGGCATGCGGAGGGTCGTCCATATCCAATCCATGACATGAGCGTAGCTCTTAACGTTCAAATTCAAAAATCTACCAATAGGATTGGTGGTGCGACTAGCGGGATCGAACCCTCCTGCTGAACCAGCGCTTCGTTTATGAAGCTCTAAAAACCACTTTGGAAAGTACACACGAGCGTTCATAGGCTGATTCTTCAAAACAGCAAATGCAAGCAAGATTACAATTGAAGTAACAACATTGATCCATGCTGATGTCACCACATCCAGAGTATTTCCAGCCATCGATATACTATTCAGAGAGATTTTGATTCAATTTGAAGCATGTAAAAGAGGACAAGTGATGTCGACATCGGAATGCTTTCAGATATGATTCTTCTTATTGCAGTATAGGAGCTCCAATAGTGCTGACGCTTTGTGGTATTCTTTAATGTTGATGTTTTCAAAAGCCACTTCTGCAGCCTTTTGCGCCATTTTCCTCAAGAGGAGTAGAAGAATTTGTAACAGTGCCAGAAAACCATGAGTAATTGAATCGGACGCTCTGAGAGTTCATCGACATGTGATCTCTAAAGCCCCCTCCAATATCGTTAAGTCTCGAATCTATGCTGCCAGCATTCCCAGCAGAATCAAATGGAAGATTCAGAATCTGCGCTTCACCTGGTCAGAAAAAGCTCTAACCCCTACCAAAATCAACAATCAGAACCATACGCATACGATTCAATATGATCCCATGGAGAGCTCACCTGACGTTGGCCGAGACATTAACAGCACTAATAATCACACGCAACGTAATTACTGATCGTTCTGCCCTCTGTAAAAAACCGAACGGTATTACACCCTTGCGAATAAACATTTTGTAATTTACTGAGACACCAAATGACACTTCCTAACAAACACAAAAAAACAGGGAACACATCAAATAAGATAGATATCGCATTCTCACAAGCGATGCAACACCTTCGACAAGCATTTCAACGCCTATCCTATCCAACGCTGAGCAAGCAACGAAGCCTACACCCGATTATAATTACGAACATCATGGCTGCGATTTGCGATCACAGTTTGCTGCACAAAACGTCCTGTTCCAAATCAACGACGCTTGCTTAAGAAGACATAAAAAATTGCAGCCTGGACGGTTTCTTACGAACTCTCGTTTGTCTTGGTGAGTGAAGACATGCCGAATTCGAATCCATGACAAAGGTATGAACGAGAGGCAGGATTATGGCTGGCATTGTAACAAACATGACGAAGCAGAAAAAGAAGACGAAGAAAGGAGGCTGCTGCCCTAAACCAAGTGATACCGGGACTGGACGTTACCGAACCAAAACGTGGACGAACGTATACGTTCGTTCGTTAGTTTGACGGAGGTGCACGTTGTCAATATTGTCAACGAGAATCGTTGGCTGACTTCAAACGACGTTGACGAGAACTTGAGGACCGCCATGCCGGTTCTGCTCAGAATTTGTCGAGTTAGCTAGTTTGCTGGTGGACCTCATGTTGAAACACTTCCGATAGAATAGTAGTTTTCTTTGTTAAAGAAGAATATGTAAATAAATACATTATTTTAAAAATTATTATACATTATTATTATTTTTCATTCCACATCCACATGAATCCTTTAAAAAAACATGTTCCTTGACACCAGGTGGATACAAATTCGCACCATCAATCACCCTTTGAATCACTAGATAGTCCACATGCGATTTTTCTAGAGGTTTCCTCCATCCAAACTGTCTAATGCTCCCAATTGTTGGTGGATTTGGCAACAAAATAAACATCAGTTCAACATAAATACCCATTTCTAGTTCCTCTCAAAAGGAAGCGATCGATCGAACGAACGAACGACATTCCCAAGGTCATTCTAAAAGTTGAGCGCAGACGACAGTCCCGAGGTGATTTCGAAAAGGAGAGAGCGGCATTGCATCTCTCACCGATCTCTGGCAACAGGACTTGGATTCCAGCATTCCAGCGGGAACCGGAATCTCGCGAGGGTGGTCTTCGATGTTGCGGTGACAAACTCGTCGATGCTGTTTAGGAAGGCCAAAAGGGGATGCAATGTGTTGCGAACGTGTTGGAGTGGATGCGCGCCACAGTCTTGTGATCGCATGCGGTCTCCGAGGCCTGCTTCTGGCGGCGCCTCTCTGGGTCGGCCAGGGTGAGCGCTTCTGCTGCTGCTGCAAGTGTGGAAACAGCGCCGCCTCTCGTAACTGTCGGTCTGTACCGAAGTCAGTCCGCTCGGCTGATCCTAGAACCAGCTATGTGGCGACGACATGAACAATTATCCTCTTACTCTTCAACGAACCCACGCCCAGACATGCACTCCTCTTCAAGGTGCCCAGGGTACGGCGAAACGACAAGACGGTAAGAGAAGCTGCAGGTAGCAGATAGCAAACTGCACGAGTGCTAGGCTTGCACCAGCTCAAGGCACAATCCTGAGCCCACAAAATTCTTAGAATCACCTCTTCCCATCATATTTCTTTCTCCTTTCCACTACAACCAAGACTGCAGCTACGATTTTATCCCATCTCTTCTTCCCCACACCCTTATTCATTTTCACGCTCCCGAACTAAACTGTTGGGTTACAACACTCCATGGACTGCTGGAGCTAGGACCATGGTGGAAAATTGAAAAGCATACGGTCGTTGGTGGTGGAAGAACTGCATGCCATGTCGGCAGGCTGTGCTGGATGGACAGGGGTCCAATGCAACTACTTCCAGTTACAGGCAACGGCGAGTGGATGAACACCAGTTCAACGTAGATACATAGAAAACAGCAAACAAGGAAAGTATACGATAGGGAAATACGGAGAGTAATACGATACATAAACTTTTTCCTGCCTATTAAGTTCAGTTTGCAGGGTTTTGACAGAGGTTTAGAGGGGAGGGGGCGTGCCTGCGCGTCCGAATTAGGTTAGGCCCAAGGATTTTACAGATTCTCGCGTGTTTGTCACGTTGTGGAGCGATGGAGCGGTAGCGAGGACGTGTTAGTGATTGTGGACTGCGAGGAGTTGGGTGGGGTTATTCAGTTGTGGGGCGGGGGGCCGAAATCGGAGAAAAGATGCGGAATTTGGTGGTGATCAATGAGGTGCATGGGGTGGTGGAGGGTGACGATGACTCCAAGCTGCAAATCGCAGCTGCGGCTGTTGATGTTGACAATGGGCTCTTCTTTGTCGTTTCGCAATCTTCCGCACTCTTATGCTACTCTCTTTCTTCCTCCAAGGTACTCGTTTCTCTCCGTTGATTCACAATATTCGCGTACTTCGGGCAATTTCTTCACCTGATTCTGGGGTCTATGAAGTGTCCGGCTGGTTGTGCATCGTCATGTCAATTCTAAGGGTTAGGCAACTGTAGAACGTCGATCGGGCGCTAGACGTGACCTCCGTTAATGCAGCTTTAAGGGTTGATCAATGTGTTCTATTGGTGTGCGTGCTCGTTGGTTGACTTCAATTTGCGCAATCCAATCTCAATTTTGGAAACTAGATCATGCTTGTGTCTCCGCGTGTGACAATCGAAAGTAATCCACTTTACTTGGAATCTGGAGAAATCGTTTATTTATTTATTTATTTATTTTTATCTTCCTATCCCTCGTAGTAGTTCCTTACGTTAGGGTAGCTTATTTAGGGTTAAAGATTTTTATGCTTCAGTTTTACTGAATCTGTCTTAAGTTTTATTCCTGTAATTTCCCAACAGGTTGAATGGATTGTCACCTTGGACGAGGAGGGTGGACCTGTGGTAGCTATGGACTGGAGGGTGGAGGTCGAATCCGTTGTTATTGGCCGTTCCAGCGGACAGGTAAGTAAGGAGCATATTTTTCTTACAACAGATAATTTCGAGATTAATCCAGGTTGCCAATTTTTAGGCCTGATGTCAACTCTTCCATTCATGTCCCTGAAATTCAACTTGTTCATATCTCGAGTTTGGCTCAGATTCTAGCTTTTTCGGAACGCAGGTTGTTGAGGTTAGTGATTCTGGTCAAGAAGTGCAAGAGGTGGGTTCCTTAAAGGGAGGACTTCTGGCTATGGCAGCTAGTCCGGATGGTGAGCTCTTGCTTCTCGCTACTGGGTTTGGTCAACTCCTGGTTATGACTCAAGACTGGGATCTTCTGTATGAAGTCACTCTTGACGAGGGCCTCGCTGCTTCAGTAAGTTTTTGTCATTTTGATCCGTTCTTTTTTCGTGCACGTCCTTTTGGATTTTGGTCTCCTCTGTAGTCATGGCAAGAAACGCGCGAGCTTTCTGGAACACCTGTTTGCTAAACGTAGGTACCGTGTTAAATTTCATGGTTGCATGTAGGGTAGCGTGCAGCTAAGCTGGCGAGGGGATGGCAAATATTTTGCCACACTTGTGACAGGGAGCGGTGCCTCCACTGATTCGAGTCCGTTGAAGATCTGGGAAAGAGACACCGGAGCCTTGTACGCATCTGGAGAGAGCATTCCCTATTTGCAAACAGCGATGTCTTGGTGTCCCTCAGGGGCTCGCATTGGCACTGCGTGTATACAACCGAACAGCACAAGCCAACCCCTCATAATGTCTTTCGAGAAGAACGGTCTCAAGCGCGACAAATTTCAGCTGGAAGGTCCTCTGGACACGCATGTAAATTATCTCAAGTGGAACAGCAATTCTGAGCTTCTGGCTATGGTGATTACTACTAAAGATTGGACTGGCGTCCAGATCTGGAGCTGCAGCAATTTCCACTGGTACTTGAAACAGGAGCTACGGTTTCCAAGCACAGATGAACTGAACGTGTTGTGGGATCCTGAGGATCCAATGACACTAGTCTGCTGGACAGCCAGTGGGACCATCCGCACTCTTAAACTTGGATGGAAATCTGCAGTTCTAGACTCGAGCATTGCTCTGGTTATTAATGGCCTTAGCTTACTCGTGTCACCCCTTTCTCTTGCCCTCATCCCTCCGCCTATGTCACTCTTTACAATTACTTTCCAGGCCCCGGTACAGGTTGTGGCATTTTTGCAAGACCATGAACGCTGCTGTTTCATAGCTGCACGGCTCTCGGATAGCACGCTGAGTGTTGTGACTTTACCTGAGCTCAATGATTGGTTAGATCTTGATGGAATCAATCACACAGCGCATTCTATCTCTGTTCTCTCCGACTTGAAACAGAGCATAAGCGAGCTCCGGCACCTTACGTGGTTAAGTTCTGGGGCGCTACTGGGCGCCCTCTCAGTTCAACCGGGGTCTGACAAGGTTGGCATTTCCGGAAACTTCTCAGGAACTCAAAATGGGGTGTTTTTCCAAACTTATCCAGGAAGTAAGGAGATACTCGTCGAAGTTGATCTTGACATGGTAGCCTACAATCCTAGTCCAATTATGTCAGACGGTGTTCAAATACAGGGAGTACAGGAAACACCTGTAAAACAGGCGGTGATTAGTATCATCAAGAACAAGGCTCCTCTGTCGGATCAGAACGGAGACGCTTTTGTCCAACTAGGGGATGGCTCGATGTTGTTGTATTCTGAATCACAAGGGGCGTCGCAGTTCGGTAAAACTGTGATTGGGAAGTTTGCGAGGCCTTGTCCATGGACGAGTGTGCTGCAATCTGAGAATGGAGAAACTCTTCTCCTTGGACTCGATCAGAAGGGGAGTTTGGAGCTTCTGGGTCGCTGTGTTCTCTGCAGAGATTGCTCAAGCTTTGTTGTTCATACAGCAGCTGATTCTCGATCTCATCTTTTGTACACCACGCAGAGAGACTCAATGCATGTTGTCAGTTTGTCTGACCTCTCGTCCCTCTCGGAGGTGCAGTCTAAGCAGGAAGTTAACATGAAACCTGAAATTTCAGATGGGAGGAAGCCAAAAGGGGTTGGTTTCCAAGAAGAGAATCTGAAAGTGCGTCCCCTGTGGGAACGAGGGGCGAGGTTGGTTACAGCGTTAGGAGGTCATGACGTGGCTGTGATAGTGCAGACCATAAGGGGTAATTTGGAGACAGTATATCCACGGGGTCTTGTGCTAGGTGCAATCGCAGAAGCCTTGAAGAAAGGCGATTTTCGTGAGGCTATGGGATTAACTCGGAGGCATCATATTAATCTGAATGTATTAGTTGATTATGGAGGTTGGCGAAACTTTTGCGTGAAAGCTTCTGAGTTTGTCAAACAGGTGAGTTTTTCATTTTCATTTTTATTTTGATTTTTTTGCTCATATCAAGTCATTATGTCAAGTTTTGACGATGATGTGTCAGTGATAAGCATCGACCACAACTTAGTTATAAGTTTCATATTTCTTTGCTCTTTTGTGTTGATTTGTTACTGGTTCTCTGTTATGGTTTGCAGGTGGGTAAGTTAAACCACATCACTGAACTAGTGTACGCTCTAAATGAGGAAAACATCGTCGAAACCACGTACAAAAACTTACTACCTCCCTTCCCAGAACCACTAAGCCCTGCGGATGCTGCAACTGAATTGATGAAGTCTCAATTCACAGCCAACAAGGTGCAGACTGTTCTGAAATCTTTGAGATTAGGTGTAGAAAAAGAGATTCCTGTTAGTCCTGGAAAAGAGCTTTGCATCCTGGCCACGCTAGCTAAGAGCCGCCCACCAGAATTGAAAGAAGCTTTGCAACGAATCAAAAGTTTGCGTGAAGCAGAGCTGCAGGGAGAAGTTGCTGTAGAGCTGGAGGCAGTCGAAGAGACGGGAGAAAAGGGGAAGGTCATACTGAGTGCTGAGGCTGCATTGAAGCATTTGCTTTGGCTATCAGACGCAGATATTGTCTTTAAAGAAGCTCTAGGATTGTACGACTTGCACCTGGCGGCAATGGTTGCTTCTCATGCGCAAAGAGATCCAAAAGAATTCATTCCTCTTTTGAAAGAGTTAGAGGAAATGCCACCACACTTAATGCAATACAGCATTGACGTAAGGTATGTATTTACTATATCTACATTGATGTAGGGCATCGTAGATCTCTTCCGCTGCTGATTTGTTGGAATGTCGATTCGAAGGAGAATTGCCAGAGCTGTTTTGCTTATGGCAGCTTATTACGTTACCTACTTTCTGTACATTGTTTAGAAGTGCAAGAGTCTATCTGTTTCAGTAGAACCACAGGATGAGTCATGATGATTGCCAGTTAACGTACATGGTCCCGTCCATTTTGAAGATTGTTCTGATTTATTTGTAGGTTGGGTCATTATGAGAGCGCTCTGCAAAACCTTGCTCAAGGAGGGGAAGCCAACTTCAATGAATGCCTACAGTTGATGATGGATCATGCTGAGCTATTTCCACTTGGATTACATATTTTTAGAGAATCTAAAAATAGGCTTCCTGTTTTGGAAGCATGGGGAGATCATCTAATGCAACAAGAAAAGTTTGAGGATGCTGCGGCTGCTTACTGCTCTTGTAACAATCTTCAAAAGGCTCTGGGTTCATATAGAGCTGGTGGCTTATGGCGAGGAGTGATGACTATCGCAGGCCGGATGAACCTTTCTCGTGAGGAATGGACCTCACTTGCAAGTGATTTGGGAGAAGAGCTGCAGGCTATGGGCATGCCAGCTGAAGCTGCTTGCGTTGCCTTAGAGTATATCCATGATGTAGATTCTGGGGTTAGATTATTGCTAGAGGCCAGGGAGTGGATGGAAGCTGTCAGAGTATCTTCGTTATATGCTCGTGAAGATCTTTTATCCTCACTCATTGAATCAGCCGCTTTGGAGTGTGCAAGTGCCCTGATTGAAGAGTTTACAGAAGGTCTTGACAAGGTGAGGAAGTATCTTTTGCGTTATCAGACCGTCAGGCAGCGGCGGCTGGCGTTAGCAGCAAAGTTGAAAGCAGAGGAAGATGGAGAATGGGTGGATGATGATACAATTTCAGAAGCAAGCAGCCACCTTAGTAGTATGAGTGCATACTCCCATGGGTACAAACTGATACCTTTCTCTTGTTCCTGAAATTTTTACTCGGGAGGTTTATGATTATTTCAAGTCATTCACGAAGTCAAAAAGTACATGATCACGATTCCGAGGTTTACATTTTGCGGCGAGTCTGGTAGTATTTACTTCTGTCATTCTTGTACAAAATTGAAGTCTCTCAATTGTTTGGTGTACTAATACTTGGAGCCTACCATTTACTCTCCAGGACGGCTGCTACAAGCAGTGTCACTACAGGGTCAGGGCGAGGAAGAAAGCAAAGTGTTCGATCCCAGAAAAAGGTCAAAGGGGGCCGAATTCGAGCTGGCAGGTGGGATACTTTACAAGGACTACTGCTAAGCATTACAAATGCTATAATTGTGATATTTGTACACTGCTTTCGTGCATGGTTGATTGTATCATGCTATTATTTTCATGAGTTCTTTTCAGATGGCATATGAAATCATTGCCATTTTATCTGGTATCTGACTCCTGTTTTTTCTAAATTTAACATGTTTTGAAAGGTGGGTGTTTCTATTGTACTTCGCATTCCTTGCGACATTATTTCTTCTGTTTTGGTTCAACGAGGTTGAGAAGAGTGCTGAATGGGGCTTCTTTTGCAGTGCTGGAGAGGAAGGAGGTCTTGTTGACTACATCAGAGGCATGGCAGTAAGTCCTCGGATGCTAGATGAAGTACGGAGGTTGCTGAGTGTGCTCGTTCTTCAAGGGCATTATTCTGTTGCACATCATGTTCAATCGTCATTAGTCGCATACCAAAATGATCAGAAGGTAGCGTTAGAGACAATGGAAAAGGATGCCGCAGATGACAATTTGCAAGCGGGGAATCCACCGTCTGCAAGTACTGCAGCAGTGAGCAAATCCTCGTCCCCAGCAATATGGAGATTGGCGGTGTTGGAGCCTCCAGATGGCGTTTGTATATAATGAGGTGTTAATTGGGTTCAGTTTGATTCTTGGCTTGTTAACCATTGTAATCCACCTCAACCTTAATTTAAGCATTTCTTTTCAGCGATGCTGCATTATCAAACAATGTCTCAGCTTCCTAACTCACGATTAAGCGCTCGTTTCATTGTTATAAACATTTCCAATCAAAGTTACTTGTAAGAATCTTATTGTTGTAGCACTACAGCGCTGGTGGGCATATTAAAAGCCTTTTGTCTGAATATATCACGTGATAAATCAGGACAACGTTGCTGATGAACTGGTCAGTAATGTCTCCGATACTCATCACGCTGTTGGCTATAAACAAACACCGGGAAAGATTCTTGAAATGGTACAGGCTGGAGAAAGTAGCATCGCGTACAATTTTGCACTTTTGATAGAAGAAACAGAAGTCCATGCATGGTTAGCTGTCTTAAAATGACATAAATAATCTTCTTCCTTCATTTATATTTACAACTGAACATTGAATTGTTACCATATTTGATCAAGCTTGAACCTGGCGCATTCAGAGTGCTCAATGGCCAACAACCCATACCCACGGTCGAAAGTCACACTAACGATCAGCCGCATGGTCACTTGTTGGAGGATTCCAAGTACGTCCTGCAGTTGCTGTCGATCAGATCAATGCATATTTTTGCCCGAAACAGTTTACAATTCTGATTAACTTGATCCAAAACTGGTCGCTCTACTGGCTTGCAGCTTCTACGTGGCGATGATACTGCATCAGTCAAGCATTCCGACCTCGTCAAACCAGTGCCTCTCGTCTGCACTGATCGTATTCCAATTACTAGGATGTTCACAGGTTAGACTACTGACTGACAAAAATTCCGCAAAAATCCGCAAAAATCCACACTTTATTCTTGAGATTTCCGACATATCTCAGTAATCAAATGATAAACTATGCTGTAAACTGTAAGAACATAATACGAATTCAGAATCTGGGCTAATTGCAAAGCATCAGCATGTCGGTCAAGAGCTTTGCAAGCTGCTGTCACAGGGCACTAAACAGTCAAGAAAATAATGCGGTCTTTTGTCGCGGTGTGCCAACGCTCTTGAAGGTGACTGAAGGAAACACTTCGCCAGCACCAAGAGTGCATATACACAATGAAGAAGGTGTACATATGTTTTTCTTTTTTCGGAGAATACACATGATCCGTAAGGTGGGCAGGACTTGTGAAAATGGGCTCACTTTCACCACACACTTTGATGCCACAACTGCACTGCTCCTCCACACAGCCTCCCTCCCTTTGTCGCAAAACTGCTCCGCAATCTATGCTGCTTGTCAGCTCATCGTATTGCCACTGTAACGAACTTCTAGCTAACCTTTTGCTGCAATTATTTGTACTTCATTAATCTGTCAATGGCATGCTCTGGAATTTGGATTTGGAGCCTGGGTCGGTGATATGGATTGTGAGTTAAAAATAATTTATCCTAGTATTTCTGACTTCATGCTTTAAGCCTTGACCGCAAGTTCATCCTCCCTACGCCTTAATTCTTCGGTTCTTTTTACTGCTAGTTCAAACGAAGATAGGCGGAATGCATGAGAGACTAAACCATCGCAGCAACGTAAGCTCCGACATATTTATGACGTTTAGGCGTATATTTAAGGCATTATTGTGCATGGCAATGGAATGATTCCGATGATCTTCCACTCCAATCACGTGCCTCTTCTACATCAGGTCCTACGAAGCGTACCCATGTCGGGCATTAATTTCATTGTAGTCACTATTAAAATCAAATTGTGCAGTGATCGTCAAGCTCCAGGACCTCAGGTCCACCGCGATTCTATCACGATCCTTTTCTACATTGTTTTGCGACCTGATGATACAGCTATTGTGGTCTCACTTAATTGGGTGATTATCATTCGGCCAGCAAAGACTTGTATGAGGTGAAAAGATTTGCAGAGTGGTGGCAGATGTCTAATTGCCGCGAAAAGAACAGCAGTACTTCAATGAAAGTAATAAGTGAATGTAATGTGGCTACCACAGATGATTATCAATCGTTCATTTTAGCCTGAGGTCCAACCAAGAGACCACACCAGTAGTGCAGGATTGGGTATCCAAATGCTTCCATGACCAGAAAAGATAGCTAGGGTGACATTCGCACCCATTCTCACACATTCCGTAGTGGGAAAACATCACTTCTATTCTTTCTATTTCGGACGATCACGAACTTCTATTATTTTTTTGGGCAATTCCCCACTTATTTGAATTAATCTCTCTTGTCAAGTAACGAAAACCACTTTGAAACCATACTTGTCTTTCTCACACAACGCTTAACGTGAGGGGACCTTCTGCAGTCTATTGTGGCATAGTCCGACAATGTTACAACGTGAAGTGTGAGATTTACTACGAAAAGAACAAGTCACCCCTACACTAAACAAAATTCCGGTCGCAGGTAGTTTTACAGCAGAATGAACATTAGATAACGGGTCACAGTGGTTATGACCACTCCCATGTCAAAGAATCGGATGCAACTTACCGCAAAAAAAAAGGTATCAAATAAAATAAAATAAAATAACGCAAAAGGACACAAAACACAACCGGAGCTTGTGCCTCACATGGGCGGACATTCCTACTCATATCACACCAGCGCTGTCGCCCACTAACCGCATTGATGCGACGCTGTAGACTGGTCTCAAGAATGTGCAAATCGTTGCGAGACGCACAGATCGCGGATGACAAAAGCCTATCGATTCCAAAACCACATGTAAGAAAGGAGACCGGCTTAGGGAGGGGATTCTTCGAGGCCGACGTCCTAGTGCCGACACGCGCATATAGAATATCCCATCGCATCTTCTGTGCCTCCGAAGCTGCGAAAGCTTCATCGACACACGAAATCCACCAAAGGTCGCAGTTGCAGAATTTTCGTCGCCTTCACAGTCTTCGAAACGGCGACGACGACGCTGCGAAAACAATCCAGCGCCGCTTCTCGTTTTCTTATTCTATTCTCTTGTGGTTTTGAAAAACTTTTAGGGCTTCCCGATACTTTTCAAATTTTTAAAATGTTTTTTCAGGGTTTTCGATACTTTTTTAGGGTTTAGGAATTGTTTTTTGGGGTTACAGCGTTGTGTGTAAATCTGAGTATATTGATCCCACAGTATGTTTTGATTTTTGATTTGATTTGATTTTATTATTATTTTGATGAAAGATTGGCTTACTAGTTGTTGTGTTTTAGATTGTGTTTTTTAAGGATTGTTTAAATTGTGGATTGGAAAAGCAACAAGTAGTGGTGATTTATTAATAGAATCAAAGTATTGTGGTTATGAATAAAAATAAAAATAAACACATGCAAATCTCCACAGCAAATCTAGAGAAAGTGCTTTTAAAATATTTCACAAAATGATTTGTAACAAATATCAAAATAAATTCAAAGTATTAGAGGACCTTATTACACAAAATGAAACTAACATAAATAATAGAAGGCTTTCTTTGATTCTTCACTTTTGGTTTCATGTGTAGCAACTAATAATTCTACATTTTTTACGATCATCACTTTAAGTGAGCTGTGGTTAAATCTTGACAAGCATTGAGTTCTTTTCAAAAGTTGTTAGAAGCTTAATTGAGGAGAAATAAAAAAAACATCAGTAATAATACTTGCATTATTATTTTTGGCATGTTGTAGTTGTGAGAATCAATAAAAATAAAAATAAAAATAACCAACATTTACATATAAATATGTTAAAAAAATTCTTGAGTCACACTTTACAATAGTATGGTTACAAAGAATATACATTCACATACGTACATGCAGAAAACGATACATACGAGCATGTACGAAATTAAAGTTAAAAGAAAAAGAAAAAGTAAAACTATACAAAGAAAGGCAAAAAACCGAGAGAAGGCAGTCGATCTGAGCAACAGTGTGGGATAAGTGGGTGCTCCTTAGGGCGCCACGTCGTTGCCTTTAAAGGTACTTTCTCCTGCCTTTCCCTTTTTTATTTGGCCCGCAATTTTTTTTCCCCCCTCTCGGTGTGCCTGTTGTCATTATAATCCTTTCACTTGTGCTGCCAAACAAACAGCCCATCTCTGTCACTGATTGAATCCCCACTAGAGGGAGAGTACAGTTTGCGGTCCCTAACAGCCCTGGTGATGAACCCTATCCACAACATGTGGGGCAGATGTATAAAAATATAAAACCAATATACAAATTTTTAAAGTATTATAGTTTCCCAATCAGAGAGGGATATATTACAAGAACAAGGGTCTGATTAATAAACTATCACACCAATTAAAATATAAAACTCCCAAAATATAAAATCTCATTACATTCTAGGCTTTACATGTTCATCATCCACCAAGGAAAATACAAAATATTGGATCTTAATTTTTAGGCAAAGTCTACAACGCCCAAATGTTTCCATTCATTGAAGATCTTGCCATTATTTTTGTGAGGGGTGTTGAAACAAAAATAAAATAAAGTAGAGTAAAAACCCAATGAATCAAACGATCTTTTGCAACAAACAATGGGATCTATTAAATGCGCATGTTCATTCATTTGCATTCCACATTATTGGAGTTTGGAGTGGAGTTGCCTTTCTCAAGTCCCTATTTTAGATATTTTTATAAAATCTTTTTGAGTGTCGTCTTCAAAAAAATTTGAGTTTGTGTGGAACTTTACATAGTCTATCATGAAGGCTAAGGTGCAACTAATTGATTTGTGGTGTACAATAGGGGTACAAAAATAGTCCTAAATAGTATAGGTAGCTTTATTTTAGATCAACCTACAATACATTTTGGAATATTCATACACCATCATGTAGCAATGTTGTTGTTGTTGTTGTTGTTGTTGTTGTTTTTTTTTTTTTTTAAATTTTTTATTCAACATAAATCCATTGGAAAAAATAAATAGTTGTAAAATTAAAAATAAACAAATCATTATGTAGTTATTTATTCATGTAATTACTACAATATGTTAGAAGTATGGTTTGTTTTTTTGTTTGATAAATGTTTTTGTTTTGCAATGAAGTTTATCCTTTACCATGTGATTATTTTTCTAAACTTATGCTTGTGGAAGAACAATAATAAATCAGGAGATATGTCAAGTATAAAGTGATACTAAATGCCCCATTTATCTTCAATTTTGCAGCATTTTAAAGCATGAATAGATTGTATGCAATTCCTTACATTATGCTATTCACTGTTTAAAACACTCAAATTTAAATAGAATAAATCCAGTGCATCATTGTAAAAAAGATGTTACTCATAAGAACAAAAACTACCTAATTGTGCTATATTCCTTATCATTTACATTTTACATATTTTTTTTAAAGGATAAGAAAAAACACCCCTTGGGATACTCAACAATAATTCTTGTACAATATGGGAGCCTTCTAGTATGGCTAGATATTTGAATAAGGTATATACTACATCTTATGCGGTCGGATACAGTCCTATGTTATATCCTTTGCTGATCTATTGAACCAACTTTTGATCACTCATCCAAGGTTTTGCAAATGTTGTTAGATAGCAAGGTTCATAATGAGGGTTTCCAACAAACTAGAAGTAATATCTTCCTCCAACGAACACAGGAAAATTTAAACGCCCGTAACTGCTTGTGGACTTCATGCAGTGATGGTTTCCTCGGAATTCGAAGGTCGTTTTATTCGGGGCAATGCCTCTGTGTTGGGCAGAAATTCTGAATCATCAAATGGTTTTTCGGCGTCGTGGAAGTATAGGCTGGTGACCGGACGCCTTGAAATGACCTTTGTTTTATAAGTTTGGCAAGCTCGTGTGCGCACATTTGTAGAACTTTGGAAGCTGTAGAGGTTCTCAAATTTATGGAAGCTGAGGAGGCTATGTTTCCTCCTCCGCGAGCGATTAGTTTTCCACTTCGTCTGTCCGTTTTTTGGGGGAAGTGCAGCGGATTTAACGATCTGTTAGCAATTTCATGTCTACAATTTGTCGCTCTGTTGTCTTGCTTTGCTAAATTTGGGGTTTTTAGTTCCAAAGATAGGTTTGGGCACACTAGTTAAGTCCCTTTGCTTCGCGGAGTGATCGTTCAACCCTGGATTGCGAGAAACAATGTGTGTGTGTGTTTAGTTTACGGGAATGATCCGCTTGTTTAGCCACATCGTATGACAAAATCGGCTGGTGCGAGTTCCCCAATTCGTAGAAATCCCATTCGCGTGATCGTTCTTTTATCGCTGTATTTATCGGAAGTATGGAGCACCGCTCAATTCTCTCAGACGACCAAGCAGGCATTCGCTCTTCCTCGCAAAGTTTCGGAAGCAGCTCAAATCTGCGCAATCATGGTGGAACCAACAGATCAATCGGATCTTTGGACACTAACTTTTCAGCAACCCCTCCTAAATCACGACGCACCCTTCGACAGACGCACAGCGCGCTCATTGGAGACCGGAGGGCTTATCCTCTACCTGATCCAAGGCAATTCGAGCTGCCCGGCGTTTCTGGCTCGTGGGATCCTACCAACGATATTCTCTACCCAATGCAGACTTTGATGCGCTTCTCCGAGAGAGAACGAGCGACGTCGCGAGACACCGTAGATGCAGTTTATAGTCCCCCTATGCAACGCCCCCTGGCAGTTATAGCGCAACACACCAGCATTCACGTGACTGACAAGCAACCAAACCCATCGCCATCACGATCATCGCCTGCCGGCAAATGTGTTTCCAAAATTTCTGTTGGCGATTCCGGTGAAGACAAGGTGACAGAATTCCTGCAAGAGCAGAAGCAGGACATTGACGCGAGGAAGACGACAGAGCTGGAGGTTCCGTCGGTGGGCACAGAGGTGCATGATACCGATTCGACCATTCAACCATCGAATTCGAAAGCGGTGGTGGTAGTGTATGATGGGGATAAGAAATTCTCGATTGCAGCTTTGGACATTGCAATCAGTGGCTATGCGACGTCTGAGGGCGACGCTATTGTCGTGGTGGCGTTCGTGGAACATATCTTGAGCCCAAGTGAGTTGTAGTGTGTTTTGTTTGTGTGAGGACCTCTGTGAAAGCAAAGGGCTTACGTAAAGTAGAAACGGCTTCTCGATTAGACTCAGCCAGCAATAGCACAATTGAAAATAGAATAAAAATCAGAACCAATTGGACCAGGGAGGGTGATGCAGAAGGTGCTTAGGATTCTGCGAATGGTAATTTTAAGGGAGGCAGATCATTCATTTTTTTTTTTTTTTTTTTTTTTTTTTTTTTCTCTCTCTTGCAGTGGGTATGAAGATGGCAGCAGATACCCAGCAGTTCGGTGGCGTCAATGATGCGATCCTGAGCCAAACAATCTTCCAGAAAAGAGCGGAAATCGAGAGCAAGCTGAGAGACACTTCTCGCTATTGCCTAACGAAGAAGGTAGGAACTTGCACATTCATTCACGTCCCTGATTTCTATCAAGGGTTGATGCTTTTGCTGCAGAAATAGGTCCTCTGTGTTGCTCTCAGGAGGCTAAGCATTTCCAACGACCTCGTGTTTCTAAATGTGCCGATGTGGGAGCTGCAGATACGATTGGATGTGAAAGTGCTCCTTGGATTCAATGCTAAAGCGCTGGTTGTGAAGGAAATTTTAGCTTGTCAAGCCACATGCGTTATTTTTGACAAGTATGCTTTCCTTCACCTTCTTCCCATCCACAATGTCCTTGAGCTGAAACTCAAAACCCCTAGCACATACATTTCCACAACATGGATCATTTTCTTGTCCACAGCTTAACTGGTTTGTTGCGAAACCACCCAAGTCACCACAGGCGGCGTTTTCCATGAAGTAGCCTGAAATTCGGTAACACCTTGTCTTGTAGAAATGCAATGAAGCACCGGAATTATTACAAGGAGCACCTCACCTGTCAAGTTCTCAGGCTCCGCAGCGACGGTCGCAGGGTGGAGACCATTTCGCTGTTTGGCCAAGGGCTTGAGAAAACGGCTTCGATCACCTCGCACTGTTCCGACTCCTCCTCCGACTCCTCCATGAACTCCGAGCTGACCAGCTCTCCTTCACTGTGGTCGAAGATGAATCTCTTCGGCTCCAAGCGCAGCACCGTGCCGCTCCACCAAAGCACCATCAGCCACGGCTCCATCGTGAGCAGCAGCTCAAGAACCAGCTCCAACTTGGGATCCCCTCGACTCGTGCAGGAAGACGATGGAACTGTCGGTGAAGTGTTGGAAGAAAGCTACTCCTTCGACAGCCCCAAGCCAAACCCAGCTGAGACTTACGTGTATGTGGCCGCAGGATTGGAGAACTACAATCCTCACACAAGAAGTGGAGGAACTCTTCCAACGGCTTTGGCTGCATAGCCACCGTGAAGTCGACCCCATCACTTCAGGATCTGATCAGCAACGTGAGTGAGATCAGCTCTGTTGCGGTGCAGCTCACACAGTCGAGAACGCCCAGACTGTTTATGTCATTCGGAGCTTGTTATGCTCTAATTTCATCTTCTGAATGGTATTTGCATTCCAATTTAACTGTACTTAATTAATTAACCCAGCAGAAGTAGGAGTCGAGACACACACTGACGCATCCTGAGAAAGGTGAAGTAGCTGTGTTTTTGTTAGTTTCTTCTCGAGCTTGGTGGTGTTCTGATGAGGAGGCAATTGCTTGCTGATAGTGGAGTAGTTATTATGTGTGCACATTTGTGCTGCTAACAGGGGCTGGATGCTGAGATTCCATCACAGGAATCATGGAAAAAAACGGCATTGTGATTTTGTGTAACTTGAGCTTTTCTGTTCTGTTCGACACTGAAATGCTGCTGATTGTTTATTGATTTGGCTGCTACCTAGCTTGGAAAGATTATTTCAGTTGCCTATTTTCCATAATTTCTGCTTTTGGTTTCTGATTCCAAACGATGTTAATTATTATTATTATTGTTATTATTATTATTATTATTATTATTCATTTGGTCATAGCAACATGAATCATTGTTGAATTCATTTGGAAATTTACAGAAATTTGGTTTAAAGAAATATTGGCATGACGTTGCTGTTATTGTAATGAGCATGAATAGAGTATGGGAAATACAAGTTTTAGACAAATTTGTTGCAAGTTAGCAACACGCCGATCAATGCCTCCTCCCCCTTTCTTATTCATTTTATATTATTAATTTTCTGATTGGTGTGCATTTGAACTCCGGGAATAGTTCTTTTTACCCAATGTCATGGTATAACGTCCAATGGATTAAAGTTCAAGTGATCACATCTCACTCTTTTGGATTAGGGAACAATTGAAAAGATTTGGACATATTATTGTAAAAAATTGTGGTTTCGAATTTTCAAACCTTTATCATTTGTAGCTATTAATTTTTTTATGTTTTAGTTAATGTTTAATTTTTGATTTTGAGTTTCATGACGTGGTTTCAAATGGACACCTTCTCAAAAAAAGAAAATGGAGTATACATTTTTCTTATTCTTGTAGAAGTTGCATTATCTAGTGAATGTTTATATGCACCTTGTATCCTAATAATAGATTGTTCTCAAAGTTAATTCTCTAATTCATACTTTTTCTTTCATATTTCGAAATGAAGGAATAATCCACTAAGAAATGATTTAGTTAAGAACATTCTTTGAAGGAAATCTCAATCCCAATCCTTCTTAACATGAATGCATGTAGAATGGATATTTGGACAGATTTTACTGTAACATTGATTATATTGAAATCTTGTATCTTTAGTATTATGTAAATATCAATTCTTGCATATTAGTTATTTAGTATTAGTTCCAAATTTGTCTTTGTTACATCATGTGTTTCACAACAATATTTTATATATAATTTAAATTTCATATATATATATATATATATATATATATATGAAATTTATAGAAAACTTTAAAATCATTATATACCTTTGTAATATTTATAACATTTTTTTCTTTAATTGAAAAAATAAAAAATATTATTCTTAAATATATTTTTTCTAATATTATATATATAAGGAAATATATTATCATTCAATATTTTATACCTATTCTATATATACCTCTTTTGCAACTCCATTCTCCTCCTGTTACCAACAAGACATTCTCTTCTGTTTTGTGCAGCACAAAAAAGAATAAAAAAAATGAAAAAACAGTGACACTTATGCAACAGCAACATCAACAACATGGGAAAAGCCATAACTGAGTTGGAGAAATGCAAACCGTGCATTACAAGGCTTTTGATGACGATGAGACAAACACACAATAACCATGTTGACACGTCGCCATCGACAGCCGCAGTCCACTGCTCATGTCTTCACACGCACTCTTAATCAGTCCAAAGCTGCAATAATGCATCACTTTACACTCGCAGACACTGTTTCTGAGAGATCCAACATGACCCATGTCGTAGATCTAGAGTGGACAATGGTGATGAAGAAGCACAGTAAGATTGTGAATGGTTTCGGATCAGTCGCTGGTTCTTCATAATGCATTCAAGCGCGTCGTGAGGTGTCAATCAGTGTGTAGTGTCTCAGTGGATTTCACGTCGATGTCAACGTTGTCGAGTGTGTTTTACCCGGATAATTGTAGGCGTGTCTGTATCCAAGCCCCGGTGTTATGCTACCTGTCTGAACAAGCTCCCTTTCCCAGGTAACGTTCGATGATCGAACTGTAAGCTTCGTGATGCAACACGAGACGATCACAATCAGGAGAAGGTGGATTCGTCAGTTTAACCCGTAGAGTGGGATGTGATGAAAGCACCACTGGTGCAATAATGTATTGATGAATGTTAATTGATACAACAAAGGACGATCTCAGGTCTACTCAGAATAAATGAATGAATAAATGAAACTATTCTCAACAATACGAAGCTATCGGTTAGTCTAATGCACACGCATGCCTGATCACTCGTCAGGCGATCGGTCCGATGAGAAGGGAATAAGAGAAAGAGGCTTAAAGTCCGAGGTATACTTCAGCGGCGCACTAGGGTAGGGAAATTTCGTGAGCGGCACCCAAGTGTGACCTTGAATGAATTTATTAGCTTGATACCTGTTTGCTTCTTTGAGAGTTTTGATTTGCTTCAACCAGGGAACCCCGGAGTTCGGAAGGGCGCCGGGGCCTTTGCTCTCGAACTCGGCGAAGAAGGAGGTCTCCAAGCGGTAATCGGAAGCGTTCCACGGCATCCAGCCCTTGGGATCGACGTGGGCCCGGATTTTGGAGCGCAGCAGCACAGTGGTGAAGTATTCCTTCCATGGTCGGCCGAGGAATGTCTTGTATGTTTTGTAACTTTTGGGGAGTTCAGATGTTGCATCGAATGTGCAACTCTGGAATGAGTTGCATTGAATGTGCAACTCTGGAATGTGCAACTCAGAACCTCTGTCCATCTTGCCCTGCGCTGTGTACACGTTGGTTTGGCCCTCCATTGTGGACTTCTTGGCGGTGATGCGGCAGTTCTGGATCGCCGCGGCAGCGTTGCCGAAGATGAAGTCGATGGTGCCAAGGACTGTGCAGTCTCGGTAAAACTGGCGGTGGTTGTGAACGTAGAGGGTGTCCGGATAGCCATCGAAGGTGCATTGATAGAAGGCGGCCTGGTCGGCGCTCACTCGCATCGCGACGGCTTGACGGCCTTTAGATCCTGCTGTGTTGCAGACTTGGATACCTTTGGCCAAAATCCCCTGGCCTTCAACGACTGCAACACATACAATCCATGTCGAGGCATTAGTTCAATTGACTCTTCCAGACATAGTGCCGCAGTCACATGGGGATGATTTGGAAGAATGCTTACTCAATGTCGCGGACTTATAAGCCGTCACCCCTGAGGCAACAATCAGGCGGCCAGTGATGATGGTTTGCGTGGCGCCGTCGCCGAGAAACATGATATTAAAGTGGCTAGTCTTGAGGATGACCTGCTCATTGTAAGTGCCAGCCTTGATGTACATCACGTAGAGCGTCTCGCTTTTGGTCGGAGCTTTGTTCACCGCTTCTGTGATTGTCTTGAAGTCTCCGGAGCCGTTCCACGCAACTGTGACTTTGTAATGCCGTTTGCAGGCTTGGTTTGGAGCAGGTGGCGCCGTTGGTCCGTGCAAAGCCGTTAGGGGAAATCTTCAACAGTATCCTCCTCGGTAAGCAACGAGTCTTCGGTAAGCAGCCGACGGCGATGAAGATTGAATTGGGTGAGGTCCAAGCCAGAGGATTTAGCCCATGCGAGGAAGTCATTACCAAATGAAGCGTACGCATTAACAAACGACAGGGCGACGCTGAAAAGCTGCTTGGCCCTCTCCGTGGATAATTGAACGGAAGTGCTAATAGGCCCTCCGACCTCCTCCAACGCATCCATGCACGTCGTGTGGAACTCCATAGCTGCCGTCACGCGCGTTTTGATTTCGTCAAACGATGCAGCATCGACAGTTTTCAATTCCTCTAGGACAGCTTCGAGCACCGCCAACGCAGAGTTCAACGTATCCTCACAGACCTCCACAGCAGGCGCATTTTCAGGCGTTTCGGAGTTCTTGACACTCAAGCGCGTCTCCTCTATGCCGCTGGAGGCAGCAGCCACCGTGGTCGAGGTGTAAATCTTCGCGTCTGAGTGGGTGGAGTTTTTCAGTGTGTCGCTACAGGAGTCTGGATGTTGAGTGGCAGCGCACGCTGCCGTAACAGAGGAAGGTTGTGGGGCGGACTGGTGAATGGAGCCATCGTTGCTCGTCGTAGCATGGAGCACACACAATGCCGACCAGGACTAGAGCTAAGAGAGCACTAACATATTTGCGTCCTCTTGAAGTTCTCGAGAAATGCGCAGATTCCCCAACATACAACGCTGTCTCGTCCTCCCTGCTGTTCCACACCATCTTCGACACTGCTTTCAGGGTCCTTCGTGTCCCTGTCCCTCGTCTCTATGCAGTTTTCGCTCGTGCGCTTCAAAATCTAATGATGCCAACATTAACATGCAGAAGTATACGAGATGGGCAGAAACTCTTGTATAAACCTAATGTAAGTAGAAATGAACCCTTAAGTAGGATGCAATGGCTCACTTATCTTTTTAACACAACTCATTCACTCTTTTCGGAATTCAAAGGAAGGATCGTTACAGTGCGGCCGCATAGGACTCAGCCAAGAAGAGACTACACACACGAAGATTCAAGCCCTCACGCAGTAATCCACGGACATCTTTCTAACCATGCATCTGTTTGAAAAACCTTTGCAGAATGGCCAAGCATTCAAGCAATCCCAGTATTTCGAGACACACCTGCAATGCGTGGCAGCTTGCGACGACGATGGCGCAGGCAACGAACAACGCCTGCAGATACACCCACTAACCTTTCAGCAATAGGCAAACATGCAGCCTGTGCACAATTCTCCACTCATGGGTCCCTTCACGACCGTCTTCATACATGCAACTTCGACCAAGCGTGGACCTAACACTCCAACAACATTACTCGGTGCATACCTGCAACGCGGCCGGTTTACACGCACCATGCACCAGTGTTGCTAATCCAGCACCCCAAGCCCTCCGCCCAACCAATCGGGTGGGATTAGCACTACAAGCATCAACAACTCTCTACCACCTGGTGGTAATTTGGCAACAGTGGCGCTGGAGTTTGATGTGCTTCGTCCCGCGCGGTAGGCAGCCGGATACAGCGACGACTCATGTGTGTCTGTGCAATTAATTTCGGAGGAGAATCGCCGGGGCTACAGTGGAGCACTGTGACTAGGGGCTTCCGATGCGGAGCCTAAGTCTAAGTCTGATCCTGGTGCTCTAAGGTCTCACCTGCTCCCTCCCGCTTGCCTCAAAGCAGACCCTCTCTGCAGCCAGTGCTGAAATGCTACGTCATAAAGTCGCTCAGAGATGAGCGCCGCTGAGCTAGTGTCCAGCTTGATTCACACAATGGCATCAGTGGTGGATATAGTATCAACTAAACCACCCTCGCGCATCATCACCCACTGTAAATCTAGACATTCCCTCCAAGGTACAGGAATCGCCG